CATATGCATGTTGAGATCAAATGTAAGTAACTCCCATCTGTCACAATTTAATATAGTATATAATATAATATATAGATGTAGACTGCATATGGAAATAGAAATTGTCAATTACCTTAGCGGTTTTCATTCACAGCTGTGATGAGGTGAATAATTGGTATTAAATTAGACGTAACTTGTGAATTAATGTGTACTATGGCTATTTATTAGAAAGCAACAAAATCATCTTTTTGATTTTCAGGGGTTTTGTGTGAAGTAACTAAAATAATGTTTTTAGTGCTGTCGTACATTATGCGATACAAGCTGTGACGTTGAATGTTAATCAATTGATATTTTGTCACAGATTGTGAATAGGTAAACAGATCAATATGCCAAATGACAATTTGTTTGAAGATCCACAAAGCCTGTTTTATTTTAAAGTGCCAAGTGTGAATTACGAAAACAATGTTTTGTTTCCACTCAAAGTGGTAGAAGCAGTTTAACATGAATACCCCACTGAGATACCATGCCGCAGTTTAACATGAATACCCCACTGAGATACCATGCCGCAGTTTAACATGAATACCCCACTGAGATACCATGCCGCAGTTTAACATGAATACCCCACTGAGATACCATGCCACAGTTTAACATGAATACCCCACTGAGATACCATGCCGAAGTTTAACATGAATACCCCACTGAGATACCATGCCACAGTTTAACATGAATACCCCACTGAGATACCATGCCACAGTTTAACATGAATACCCCACTCAGACACAGTATACTGACTCCGAGCCGACCAGTCCTTGTTTTAGCCCCTTAATGCCGAGCGCCAGACAGGGTAACAACAAGTACCATCTTACTACTCACTAACAAAATATTTTGCAAATGTAAATTATGATATGGGATATTTCAACAGGTACTGGTCAAGCTGTCATTTACTCTTCTCTCAAAGTACAATTACTATATGTGTGATATGTGCAACTGTAAAATGACAATGCAACAGGAATAACAAGTTTGCTTTAATGCAGAAATGGGTTGTCTATGTGCAGTTACCTTACGACTAGGGATGCAGTAACAAGTTATCCTGCTACTCTACTGTATACAGTGAAACCCTTTTAGTCTGGACCCTGTGCAATTGGGAACACTACCTGGAAAATCACCTTTGGGTACACCCAGCTATATATAATGTCAATATTGTGTATCTAGGATTTGTAGATACATAATTTTGACAATCTGCGAGATTTGGCTTGAAACAGACGCTAAATGACCATTTAACATGAAGACCCCCGAAAGTCGACCATATGAGGTACCAGTTCTCCTGGATATCGTATTTGGAAAAGTTTCAACATACATCACCATGGTTACAGGAGATCGTGTTCTGCGGTTTATGACTTTTGATGATGGGTTATGTCCTTGGTGTGTGAATATGCTTTTATAACCACATTGATTGATGAATAAACAAAACCCTTTCATGTGGTTTGCAATGACATTTGGGATGAAAGATCACACAACAGAATGCAATGTTTCAAATCTGTTAGTTACAGTTCAGTAAAAGTGACGGCAATATTCAGTTTAGATGACAAGCCATTTTGTTATTTATTCTTTGAGTTGAGATGACATAAAGAGGATATTTTCAATCTATTCAAAACTTTGATTTTAAATTTGATTTGGAGAATAATTTTTTAATCTGTCGTTTGTTTATTTAAAGAGTGCTGAAAGAAACTTTTGTTTGTTTGTTTCTTTGTTTGTGTGTTCTCATTACTGCTAAATGAGGGCAGCCCGAAATAATCAAGTCTTGACCAGACAATCCAGTGATTGATATCGATATTTTCAATCTATTCAAAACTTTAATTTTTAAATTTGATTTGGAGAATAATTTTTTAATCTGTCGTTTGTTTCTTTAAAAAGTGCTGAAAGAAACTTTTGTTTGTTTGTTTCTTTGTTTGTGTGTTCTCATTACTGCTAAATGAGGGCAGCCCGAAAATAATCAAGTCTTGACCAGACAATCCAGTGATTGATATCATGAGCATCAGGGTATGATGACATGCAATCAACAAAGTCACTGAGTCCGACCACCTGATCCATTGCAACAAGCAAAGATTGCTGTGGACCAGTTCTAACCGGAATCCCTACTGATGGCATTTGGTTGTATTTCATCAAATTATCTCAAAACGACAACTGGTAAAAATAACATTTTTTTCTCAGCCTAATTTGACACAAACCAGGTTCTTAACAAGAGTGAGTGAGTGAGTGAGTGAGTGAGTGAGTGAGTGAGTGAGTGAGTGAGTGAGAGTGTGAGTGAGTGAGTGAGTGAGTGAGTGAGAGGTTTTACGCCGCTTTTAGCAATATTCCAGCAATATCACGGCGGGGGACACCAGAAATGGGCTTCACACATTGTACCCATGTTGGGAATCGAACCCGGGTCTTCAGCGTGACGAGCGAACGCTTTAAACCACAAGGCTACCCGACCGCCCCTTCTTAACAAGAACATGTTGATCAACTCACAAGGATGAAAGTTCAGTGGATTTGAACTGAAACATAAGTTTCATGGGTGTGGTTATTGAATGCGGGCCAGTAGAACTATTTCAGTATATCATGGTAGCCTGTAAATTATTAAGTCTTGACCAACCAAACCAGTGAGTGAAAGCATGAGCACCAATCCCCACATCCAAGTCAGAAAAGAATTGGATGGTCACAATGTGGGTACTGGCTAACAAGAGCATTGGATGGTCACAATGTGAGAACTGGCAAAGTAGAGGATTGGATGGTCACAGTGTGATGATGATGATGATGATGATGATGATGATGATGATGATCTAGCCTCTGAAATGAACATATTATAATATATGATAAAAAGGAGCCCAGAGACTCTCTTCACTTTCAGATACTGCAGTAATCTAGACTTGCCAAAATTATAGACTTGCATGGGCTGTTTTTGCTATATTTGTATCAGGGTCTGTAAGACAGACTAAGGAAAGTTATAAACATTGATATGCACAATGGAATACAAATATTGCTATGATTAAGGTCTAGAGAGGAGATGCAGATTTTGTTGTCCTGAACATTTTGTGAGTGAAATAGGTGACAATTTTTGCAGAAGGCGCTGGCAGATTTAGTAGTATTATCAGTAATGGGTGTATAGCTGAAGCAGGTGGTGATATTAGTTCCAGTCTCAGGTCTTTGTAGAGAGCATTGCAACAGAAAGTGATAGGAAAATAATAAAAACAAACAAGAATTCAACACAACAATTATGGTTTAAAATATGTTCTATTTTGGTTTACACTTTCATAGAAAAGTACAAATTATTGCACTTTTTTGGATGAAGTCCCAACTAGGATTTAAACCCACAGTCAACATAGCATCCATGGCCTCGACTAACATCTTATCTCTGAAAGGGACATTTTTTTCACACACAAAATAAAGTTGCTAAATTATCTTTGTAAAATATAATGAAAAGAAGCCAATAGATCTTTTTTTTCTGAAATGGCTGTAAACTGGACTTGCCAAATATATAGACTTACATGGGCTGTATTAGATGTAGTTGTTTCAAGGTCTACCCATGGCCAAAACACATTGTCCACTCATGACAAATATAAATATATTTGATACAAAAAATAAATGTTGGGATCATGATAATTTTTATAATATTTAAAAAAAAAATTAAATTAATTTTTTTTAGGGTTGGGGGGTGGGGGGTTGGGGGTATATACTTAAGTGAAGACACTAAAAATATCCAAAAAATATTCATGATTTCTTTTTTATTCAGTATAATAACGCTCAGGTTAAAAAACCTCCAAATTCCATCACATAAAATATAAATTCCTCGGTCTGTTTTGATAAAATATTTGCCCACTGTTACATTATCCTACCCCACACCCCTCCATGTTGTGACACCTGCCATCCTCTTCAAGATAAACTCCACATTCCCACATATTTAGAAAGTTTTATTTCAGTGTAAGTATTACGCTGTTGGCTAGTGGGCAATAAAACGGACATGGCCATCCTGGCACTGTTGACCAGTACTCTCAAGAGATGGTCAAGCTCACCAAATGTTTGCCTCCGAACTTGTCGTCTAGGCAAGCAATGGTCACTTAGGGAATTCAGTGTTTGGATAACAAAGACTTTGAGCTGTTAGGACAAATATTATAAAGCGTTATTCTGTGTTTGGAAGAGGAAGAAATTTACTGAATCTTATATGTTTGGAGTTTGAAGTTCTGTGCACACAAGACGTGGTGGTTGATAAACTATTTGACATCAACTGTTTCTAGGGTTTATGTCTTTGGATTATTTCTTGATGGACCCCTGTTGTTGGTTTTTTATGCATCAGTGTAAAATTATATATGAATACTGTTTTTATAATTATTTGAAGTATACATCTATGGTAAGCTTTATGTGTTGTGTTTGGGTGAAGTTGAAAGTGTCCTGTTTGATAAATATATGAGGAAAATATGAAATATTTCATATTTTTTTATCTCTCATTATCATATTCATATTTGTATATGTAAATGTTAATTTGAACAGGATGAGACACATTTTGATTTAAAAAAAAACATATTTTAGTACTACCAATTCTATAAGCGTTATTAAACAGGATATAAGAAAATGTTATCAAATATAAAAATATAAAAAAAGCACCCCCACAATTGTCAACTCAAAATGCATTATAATCAATTAAGTATTAATATCCAATCAACACAAACTTCTTTTTGGTTGAGCATCTCAATAATTAATAAAACAATATAACAAATTGCAATCATTTGGATCTTACAAGAAGCTTGGTAGTCTCCTGCCACTGCATGGCTGTGCTCTACCTCAACACCGACTAAATCGGCTAACGCTACCAAACACGGAAAGCCCAGCTATGGTCCAACTGTGCCTGCCTACGGGGCCCAAGCTTAAATCACTTAAAGAGGCCATGATATGCTTGAGAAACGACTGTAAAAGCGAGACGTCTATCTGCCACCCCCTGTGGGCAAATGAACCGGCCCACTCTCCAAACTCCAATAGCAGAAAGCAGTAGGCATTCGATCAGGTGTGTTGTGAGGAAGGGATGTGGTCAGCTCGTGAATAACAGTACTGTTAAATCTGGATTTATTTCTTACATGGACCAATTGAACATGTGACGTACATAAAGGATCCCTGAATATTGTTGGAGTGTTGGATACCTGGAATATATGTGATTGACAAGTGCTGTCAGCGTCAATATCGAAATTGACAACGGTGTCCAAGAAGCTAAGCATGTGTTTGTCAAAGGACCGTGTTTGTGGACGGTGTTATGAGACACCCATGTCACTGTAATACCAAACTGAAAGTTTGTCAACAAGTCTTTCTGGAATTATCACAGAGAGAGAGGTTAAAATGTTGCATGTTGGATGAATTCTAAATTGAAATTGACGGATTAACAAAGGATTAAACGTGTGGATGTACATTTCGTAAACGGATGTCACACACCTGGATTCCTAAATTTTTTGGTAAAATCTCAGCATAACATGTGGATACCATGGCTTGGACACGACATGTATATTCATTCTTGATTGGATATTGTCTTTTAGCAGGTGAGAATTTTCATTGTTTTTGTAACATTGTTTTTTTTATGGGATTGTTGTGTATTGTCTTAAAACAACAAATAAATATACCATTCCACTAGACTCTACAAGTACAAGTGGTGATTTACCAGTGTTGATTGACAAGCAAACAAAATTACTTTTAAAGTGTGTACAATATAATAAGTACCACTCAATCAACAGTTATTTGTTTCAAACTTTACACAATAAATATAAAGTATAAAAAATAACCATCAACCATTTTTACACTTAAAGAAACATACGTTTTTGAATTATGGTTGAACAATTTTTATCCAAAATACAACTGCCATCAAGAGCTAAAATATAAAATCATTTTTTCCATAAAAATGTTCTCTAAATTGTCTCTCTATGTAAGTAAAAATGACTGATGGTGTCATTTGAAATGATACAATTATAACAAGGATATAAAAACCAGTGTTATTGGACTATAATGTCCACCATACTGTGTATATATTCTGTTCAGTGAGACTCAGTGATCTGTAATTGAATATGATGGCTCCATTTAGGAATGGATAAACTGCCATCTAATCTGTTTCGTCCCCAAGAAGCCATTCTAGCTGGTCTCAAAGACCACATGGAATCAAGATTCCTCGTTGAGGATCCAATCTTCTGAATCAAGATGACCAATTTTCTGAAACAGTCCTCAAAGATAATGTCATGAAATACACTGAGATTCATCACAAAACATCTGAGTGTTCAGGTGTGTTTGAAATGTAATCAACTTTAAAGTTAATTTAACAATTTAGAATGACTCTTAAATATGTAAATTCAACTTAAACCTCCAGCTCCATCTTTGTTGAAACATACAATGTTTTGGAAGTTTAAGACTGGATTGGAAGGCTTTACTAGATTTATTCCACAGGGAATATGTCACATGGTGCTGTGTACAACATGTCAATATCACCTTGAACAGCTGATTCATACAATGACACACATATTAAATACATCCATTTCTTATGCTAATGAAATATATACCGCCATGTGTTGCCGATGTTCTGAAATTGAAGATTCAGTGACCATGTTGTGGTGCGTATTCTCTGGATGACTGGTCAATGGCTATGCTGTATATTAAATTTGATAGTCATGCTAGATCCATAAATTAAATATGAAATATACGCAGCAATTGTATATGTTAAAAAAGCGAAATATCAATTTAAAAATTGGCTTTTGTAATATTTCTAGTGATGAACAATATGTTAGGTACCTGTTGTATATTGACAAATGATTGTTATATTACTTCATGGTGCATATCTTAACATCTTTAGCAAATGAACATAGAAGTATTTGTTGTAATTTAAAAACAAAGTGATAAATATGAATTTAAAAAATGTATTCAAAGTGCATACATTGATAATATTATACAATATACAGATGTTTTTGCAATTTCATGATGAATAATACCGAAAAAAAGGATTCAAAGAAATAAATTGACAATGTTAAGGAGATGCACACATCATATATATATATTAAATATATACTTTCACTTTGTGTTTGTGTGTATATATATACAAAATGAAAGTGTACGATCAAATCAGAATAGTAGCCATATATACTACTCAAAATAAGTTAAAGAACACCCACATATAGAAGGCTGAGTGTTGCAATACCCACCAGCTATGGTAGATTGTCTAAAGTCATGTTGGAAAATCGGATGTTTTTGAATTCTTTTGAGTAGTATATATTTGACTGAGGTGAAAAAAACAGACTAAAGGTACAGGAAGTAAAAAAGACTAATGTTTGTGTTGTTTGTGATATGGTTATACAGTGATACCTGTGGTCAACAGGTCACATAGTCCCCACGAGGACATGCCCACAGGCCCACAACCATTGATCCAGGGTATGGCCCTCCTGTGAGTCCTTCCCTGCTTTGCATTAAGACATCGGGATGCAGAAGTCAGTCCTAATTCAAAATCAAATTATAGTATAGGTCTTGTGTTTAAGACATTACGGTAATACAATCTCAGTTTGTGTCTATCAAGACATGGGGAGGGACTTGATGGATGTCAAGTCATGGGTGACAGGGAGGGGGGAGGGGTCACAGATATGTGGGTGGGGCCACTAAGGGGGTGAGTTGGGGGAGGGGGGGTCATTGAAGGTTGGAGAGTGCTGCAAAATTGCCTTTTTGCTTTTGTGATGTTGGGAAGAGGGGGTGGGGGTCATTGAAGATGGGAGAGTGCTGGAAAATGTGGCTTTTGTGATGTTGGGAAGAGGGGGTGGGGGGGAGGGGCTGTCCAGGGATGGTTAGAAACTCAAGGGTCATTATTAATTAATGTTTTCAGAACATTTTTTTATTATTATTATTATTATTATTATTATTATCATCATTATTATCGTCATTATTATAAATATTGAAAACAATTTATTCAGCGTCTTTGTTTAATACTTATAATCAGAACTCAGCAAAACAATATTGTTTTATATTTGCAATCATACTTTTCCATAAGCCTTTTCAAGTGGAACCAAACAACGTGTATAGCTGTCAATCAAAGATACAGCCAGGTCTGTACACAGAGCCTTTCCTTTTGCCCAGAGATATATGCATTCAAGATGGTGGTCATAATCCTGAACAGATCGGAGAGGTTACACCAATTTATGAATAATAAATATGATGTTAGAACTAGACTTTCCAGTAATGGATACACTTAGAGCTGGGAGGCTGGAAGATTGAATGTCAGTTAATGGCCTAATGATGGAGAGAAGGAACTGAGGAGAGGGTGAATGACCACACATGATGGAGAGAAGAAGGGAGAAAGAGATAGGATGAATGAAAAGGAGTTTCTGAAAAAAATAGGGAGGGGATGGAGGTGGATATGAGGGAGGGGGATGCATGACCCATATCGTGAAGGGGGAGCATAAGATGAAATGTGAGGTATCTGAAGAAAGTGGAGAAGATGGACACTAAAACTTAGAATACCAACACTTAGAATGCCAACACTTAGAATGCCAACACTTAGAATACCAACACTTAGAATGCCAACACTTAGAATACCAACACTTAGAATACCAACACTTAGAATACCAACACTTAGAATACCAACACTTAGATTAGCAACACTTAGAATACCAACACTTAGAATACCAACACTTAGAATACCAAAACTTAGAATACCAACACTTAGAATACCAACACTTAGAATACCAACACTTAGATTAGCAACACTTAGAATACCAACACTTAGATTAGCAACACTTAGATTAGCAACACTTAGAATACCAACACTTAGAATGCCAACATTTAGAATGCCCACACTTAGAATACCAACACTTAGATTAGCAACACTTAGAATACCAACACTTAGAATACCAACACTTAGAATACCAACACTTAGAATACCAAAACTTAGAATACCAACACTTAGAATGCCAACATTTAGAATGCCCACACTTAGAATACCAACACTTAGAATATCAACACTTAGAATACCAACACTTAGAATACCAACACTTAGAATGCCAACACTTAGAATGCCAAAGCATAGAATACCAACACTTAGAATGCCAACACTTGGTCTCTCTTGTGTCCTATTCGCATATAATATGCACCGCTTCCTTCCCCTATTTGCGTATAATACGCACTCGTGTGTTATATGCACCCTTTATTATTGGCAATTAAATTCTGGAAAAATATATCTGTTGTACATAAGCATTTCAGGCTGTCAGCATAAACCACGAAATTTATCTTTCAACTCCAAAATGATATTCTAATAAGAGTCCCCTATTTCTAATTTTGAGAGCGCCCTGGGCGCTTATCATGATTACGTCGAATGCGGTAATATTTTTCCATGACACACAAAACTGATTCTCGTGATATGTCAAGTGTATATCTAAATATATCCAATCCCTATCAAAGTTTGGCTTGTGTGTATTGACAAGTATATTCAAACAAATGTAACCCTAGTGTAAAGTGTATAATTTATGTTGTAACTTTGTTTGTGACAACAGAAAAGTTAAACCCTGCAAATGACATTTTGATGAAGTTACCATCATTTGAAAGGTGATTTAAAGTAAATGTCTTCTCTCTAAAACATTAAAAAATAAGCAAAAAGGCATTAGGGGTAATGCGTTTTGTAAAGCTGTACTGTAACGGGGATTTGACTGTGTATTGATTCCTCAACATGATACAGGTACGCTCTCGTGCTTTGATCGCCACCATTTTGATGTAGAACTAGATCTATTAACTATTAAAAGCCCATCTGCTGAGAAAATCATCAGTGTCAGTTACGGATGAATTGGTCTTTGGCTGAGATGACTTTTTGCTTTGAATTGTAACAGAACAAGACAAGAAAGAATAATATACCTTTTACTGCAATACAATAGGGATGATGTGTTTAAATGAATATGTGACTCCTAGATGTTATATGACCTTATTTGTGACTCCTAGACATTATATAACCTTGTTGGTATTTATTTGATCAGTGGGGAATGTTTTTTTATGTTTTTGAGACTTCACGAACACCATCATCATTGATTTTCAGTGATCAATTCTTATAATTTTCACTGCTATTTTGCTTTTTACGCCCATTGGAATTTGTTTTGACAGAAAATCGAGACTGGTTATTCTCGGGCATTGATGTTATATATTCATATGTTCTTTATCGGAATAGTCCAGATCGGGACTGAATGTGATGGACTGCTTGAAGAAGTCATTATACAAGCAATATTTCTATTTTCAATGGAACCGGTGCGTTGTTTCAAATTAAAATAATCATCAGGACGCATTTTCCTCAGTTGTCTTCAATTCCTGTCAAAAGTTGTGTAGTACCGTATTCGACGTAATAAGCGCCCCGCTCAAATAAAAGGCCATGGCGATATTTGCTAATATATTGGCTAGTGAACAATCCCAATTAGCGCCCCTTCCGATTGATCAAGGTACACTTATTTATTCGTGTATAATACACACTCGTGTGTTATATGCACCCTTATGTTAATTATGGGCAATTAAATTCGGGAAAATATATCTGTCGTGTATA